CCGGCTCCAAACCTTAGATTCACTAGGAACGCAAACAGGCTGGACTCCGTTTAAAGCCCAGACCAAAAGAAACTGGGTTTTTCGGCATAAAAAATTGAGAGATCCTCCTTGAGCGTCCTCTGCCTCTGTCCTCAAGTTCGCCCTGAAAAGGGCAGTGAGATTTTATTCGCCAACAGAACCTCGACCTGGGCTTTCAAGCTCCGGTCTTTTGAGTAACTGGGGTTTGATGACTGAGGGGTATTTGGGCTTTGGCTTTATCTCTAACCCTAGCTGGATGAGGTTAAGGCCTTACTTGGGAATCGAAGGTACAGTGGTAAGCTTTGTTGGTGTCTAGACTAATAAGTAAATGAGATTCCTTAGGCGGGAACTGGGCTTGAACTGAACATCAACTGGATTTTTATTTCAACAATTTTTCAAAACAGCTCCATTTTATTTTTTTTTATTTTTAAAATCGACCCGTTTTTTTTATTTACCAAAACCGACCCGTTTTTTGTCACGTCAGCCTAATCACCCTCCTAAATAGTCGGGGTTGCCAACCCCAACTATTTAGGAGGGTGTTAAACCCCAATTAGAAGCCTTAAACCTTAAAATTTTATGTCCTAAATAGTCGAGGGTGGCAACCCCGACTGTTTAGGAGGGTGATTAGGCTAACGTGGCAAAAAACGGGTCGGTTTTGATAAATAAAAAAAATAGGTCGATTTTAAAAATAAAAAAATAAAATAAAATAAGGCTGTTTTGAAAAATTATTTTTTTAATTTTCCTTCATGCAGCGAGTCAGAAAGAGTTTTTGTCCGAGCTGCTGTCTAGGGCTGTGGCCATGAATTGACTGTGCTCCAAAGGTAATTTGCTTCAGATAATTTGCTTCAGTTATTATTAAATTGTTATTATTATTATTATTTGCTGCTTTGTTGCTGTGGATTATGGTGTTGGTGTGATGAAATTATACTAGGGGTTTAGTGCATGAAAGTTAAAAATTCCTGGTTTTATCCTACGGCCATGAGCATTGGAAACTGCAACTTATTTGGTTAAAGTATGCAATCTCCGAGGGAAGACTATGTTTCTAGTATCTTAGCGTGTAGCCCTGGTTTAAGGGTGTTGCTACGAGGACCCAAATAGGGGATCCAATGCATGGGACATGTGAGATGTCATTATCCGGCTGCATGATGCATTGTTCATAAACAGTGCATCATGCAACAGGATGGTGACACCTCACATGTCCTATGCCTGTAGACACACAGCCCGCAGTGTCTGCGGTCGACCGACCCGCCAGATTCATGTTTCTTCCTGCTTATGCTATTTTCGTCATTTCTTCTACAAGAGAATATGAGAGTTGATTATTGATAATCACATTTTATTATAATTTTATACCCTCATTATCTATTTTATATGAATAAATATACCACTAATAACTGCTTTTATCTTTAATTGCAGGTTAATAAAAAATAAATCCCAAAAATCTCATCTCTCAACAAAGGCCCGTGAGTAAATGAAGAAATAAGAGAAATTATCAAGAAGCCAAAGTAAAATATTTGAATTTTGAAGGCCAATAGCCCAAATGTTCCAAAACATCCAAGATGGCAGCTCTTCCTCTTGTTTCTCAAATGAAATATTTGAGCTTGGAAGCCCAAAGCCCATCAAACAAATTACACCAAATGAATTGAACTAGGCTACATTGGACCAAATTTGAATTGGAGATTGGACTTGAAATTCAAGATTGGAATTGGACTTGGTTGCAAAAAGTTCTCCATGACCAGACTTGTTTGATTTTGCTGCAGAGTTGAAGCGTTTTGAAACCGGACTTGGACTGCTGCATTGGGCCGGATTTGTTTTGGATTTTAATCACATGAATTGGCTTTTAACATGAGTGGGTCGGATTTGTTTTGGATTTCAATCACATGAATTGGCTTTTAACATGAATGGGCTGGATATTGATTGCTGCAGAGACTTGAAAAATCAAATGAATCATGCATAGGGGGCCGGACTTGTTGCTGCAAAAATTTGGAATTGGACCGGACTTGCACTTGCTGGACTTGATTTTCAATTGTTTTTGAAAATCAATTAGGCCTCTTATGTTGGGCTAGAGAAGAACAAAAAACAAATTCAAAGGTGGAGATTGTTGCTTGGGGCTCAAGACAAATCCAATGGCTCATATTCATTGAAGATTACTATAAATAGGGGTAGAGAGTGAGGGGTTAAGAGTGTGAAAAATTTTGTAAACTCCTTTTGGAGAGGAGAGCTACTCTTAATTGAGAAGGCCTTCTAAAAATTATAACTTTAGTTGCAATTAATAATAATAATTTTTCTCCTCTTTAAATTTGTTCTTTCTCCTCTTTGTTGAATGATGAGGATGGAGATGAAGAGCAAATTGAAGGTTTGCATTTTTTTTTCTCTTTTATTTCTTTTTAGTAATTTCTTTATTATTGCTTATTAGTTAGATTTAAATTCATGCTAGTAGTGTAGATTTATTTTCTTGTCTTTTTATTTCTTTTTGCACTTTAATTTGTAGAATAGATTTATTTTCTTGTATTTAATTTCCGTAATTTATTTTGTAGTTTAGATTTTTATTTTCTTTGTAGTTAGATTTATTTCTTGTTCATAGTTTAGATTTTTCTTTTCTTTTTATTTTTGTAATTAGTTCTTTTTCTTGTTTTTATTTCTTAAAGATGTGAATTTAATTCTTGTAGGAAGTTTAGAATTATATGAAACTAGTCTAATTTCCTTTATATTGTATGAATTATTCTCTTGCACTTAAAATGTTCATGTTTAGGATAATCAACTAGAGAACTAATCGGTAGAAGAAGAATTTGATAATCTATGCTTATCTTAAATGGTTTGATAAGTTATGCTTATGAATTCTAGGATTATTATCATGTTGTTGTTCTTATCATGAATAGTAATTTTAACTTAGATGATAATTTGATAGGTTACACTTTCCTTAAATAGTTTGATAATCTATGCTTAATAAATCTAAGTTAAAATATGATAAAAAGAGAATAGTTTATATTTTGTAATTGAAATTGGTTAGTGGATTATATTCTAGATTTCTTACCTCTTTTGAATCCTCCATCTTAACTTTCTTAAATTTTCTTTTCATTCTTAGTTTATTTCTTGATTTTATTCATTCTTCTTTCTTGCCTTGTGATTTCATTTATTCTTTGATTCTTTCTTCTCTAAAATTTAATTTATTATCTTTTGCACATAAATCAAAACAACCACTCATCATAATCACACTTATTCTTTATTCCTAATTGTCATGCACAAAACATAAGAACCATTTCTAATAATCTTTTAAAATCACCTTCCTCGTGGGATCGATATCTTTTTATACTATAACTTGATAAATTGTGCACTTGCAATTTTGGTACATAATTATGCCGCATCAATTATGTATGTGAGGTTGAGAGACGAGAGTTGAGTGATTCCTCTTGTAGTTCTCACTGATACATAGTGAATTTCTCGTATTGTTGCCACGTGGACGTAGGTCGAAGTTGGTCAACTGAACCACGTAAACCCCGATGTTCTTTTTTTTATTGTGGTCATTTTATATTTTGTTGATTGTGGGTTGGCTTCGGAGTTGCACATATTGTAGTAGGTGGGGAGAGTGAAATTCCCCAACACAAATGACTAGGTGCATTTCATGCTGTAACAATTAAATTGAAAAAGAAAGGACTTAAATATTTTTTGTTTCACTAAACTAGTTTAAGTTGGAGTAAACTAGTTTAAGTTGGAGTTGCCAAACCAGATTTCACAAGAAAGCAGTCTCCTATAACTATTTTGAGGCCTCCAAGACAAGATATTACACCTCATGCTCACAAACAACACGTATGAAAGATTTGAACTCATGTGCTTGCTCGAGAAAGTATCCAATAAGAATGCTCATGGCAATAAACATATATTTAAGGGATACCAATCCTTAGATAAATGCAAAAATCATAAAGTTCAATGGTCTAGAACGGTGATAATATTTGGATGCATATTTATTGTCATGTGTCATGTCTGGTGTGTATTCTCCTCACTGGAGAGAAAAGGCTATAATGTGATGTCTCCGAAAGATGAACTAAATATGGAAAGTTCTAATAAGATTTGTCATACTAGATTGCTTAAACAACTGGCTTAATTGAGATAAACACATTTAACCAAGCAAGGATGCAAAAAGTATATCCTTAGGGGCACGTGTCCCCACAAATTTCATTAATGTTTTAGATATTCACTCTAATTTTCATTAGTGCCCTCCCTTCAATTATGCAAGGTGCCCCCAATCATGTCAATTTTCAGCCAATATTCAAGCCAGCCTCATTACAACCCATGTTTAGTTCATCAATCCATGTGAAAATGAAAATGATCATGACAGCTCTATATGCTGAGGTCATTATGATTATTGTATGAATAAGATTTTCTGCCGTTAGAAATTTTATTATGTAAATATTTAGTTCATATATATAATATAGTACACGTGTCCCCATAAGGGGAAAAAAATTTCTGGATCCGTCCTCCCTTTAAGCATCTCCAACAGCTTCCTCATTTTCCACTTTTGGAGAATATATATAGTTAGGTTTTTGGTCCAACAGATTCCCCATCTCATTCCCCAAAATAAGGATGGAGGAGAAAAAATGGTGAAGCTTCCCAAAATCTGCAGCATTCTCTAAATTTTTGGAGGAAAAAATAGATTCTTCAAAATGTGAAAGCTGTTAGAGTTGGTGTAAAAATAATTTGGAGAATATGACTTTTGCTTCCCTATTTTGGAGAAAATTTTAGAGAAGCTGTTGGAGATGCCCTAACCTGCGCAAGTGGTCCAACACTTCTCCTTTTGCTAAGCGTGCGGTTGCATCGGGAGATGCGATGCAACCCACTATGTAGTTATTGCTCCTCGCTAATCTTGGTTGGCCTTGTGATTATTTGTTCCGACCGAGAGAGCTCACGGTAACACCGACCGAAAAGATTTTCGGACAGAGAGAAACGTAGAGACATTTGTTGTCTTCAAGATTTTGCACGAAGCACAATTTCTAAATTAGAGCTTAATATTTATTGGTAACTACCAAGTAGTTTTTGGACGTAACAACAACATACACATAATCGCTTATCATTGCGTATTTTCAGTTTCACCACAAACCATAACGATACAAACACAAGCACTTGAGATCACAAGCAATTCAACTTACACAAAAGAGAGCAGCCACGCACATTGCGTTAAGTAACTCACACATCTCTATCTCTCTTGCACTCCGGCGGCATCGTCGCGATCCGAGCTCGGTCCGTGCAATAGTTGTAAATGGTATACTTCTGGCGGACCCAGTTGAGCCTGCGGTATTGCACACCGTCAAGATCCTGAAACTCTCTCTGATCCCACCACCTCTTCCCTTGGGTGGCACAAAACTTGGCCTCGACCGAGGCCTCGCATCCGTCGATATGGAACCCTTTGTAGGTCGCGATGAACGGGGCGTTGGCCCAGTTGGTTTTTTCGAGCCCGCCTCTTGTGGCCCAGTCGTCCGCGTTCCATAGGCTTGAGTAGATCTTCATGGGCTGGTTGAAGGGGAATCGAACCCCGAGGTCTTTGCTGTTTTTGAATACTCGGATTGGGACGTCGTCGACGAAGAAACTGGTTTATAAATCGACACAAGGAAAATATGGTTAGTATTCACTAGTTAATCATTGAAGCACGTTTCGACGACATGTAAGCATCAGTTGTATGCAACTGCAGTCGCCGAAATAGATATCAGAAGTAGTTGTAATTGGTTGTTTCAATTTTAGAATTTGAAGCTTTTAAAATAAATGCAGTTGCAGTCGCAGTGGCTTGTTTTGCGTGTATTACCAATTTACCATGGGTTTAATATTCGGTTATTACCATGAGAGAAAGAAGAAAAAAATAGACGAATTTTTCACAGAAAAATGAAAAATAATCCCAGCATTTCTTCTGTCTTTTCCCAGAAATTAAAGTTTAACCTTTTGTAAATAAATGCCTGAAAAGTTGGGAATAATGACACCCAGAGAGAGAGAGAGAGAGGATGAGGAGCAAAGGAACAAATGGCAAAAGAACAAGACGCGCTGAGCCCAAAAAAAAATGAACAAATGGTCAGTGCACAGCTGCCAACAAGCGACTGATCAAGGCCAGGATCAGATCAACGAAGCATCACCATCAAAAACCTTTTCAGACTTTTTAAAAAACTTACGTACTATTGTTTTGTCCTCAACGCATGTGAGGATGCTTTGAAGTCTTAAGCAAGTGGGGAGCTTGATGGATTACAGTTCACATGCTCTCTCAGCATAGTTTACTCTTTCACACTGGAGTAAAGGAATAGTGGAGAGCAGATTTTACCCACTAAAGCATTATTAAGCATTAAAAAATGACTAACAATAATTATAGCTGGTGAGATAAAAAGATGCTCTTCTACTGCACAAATAAATATATCCAGTTACTTCTATCAAGTAATTAAAGTAAATATATGTATCAAGAATAAATAGTACATAAATCTCCAGACATTCCTCTATCGCACAAATAAAAAGGAGACGACAATATTTTCTGCAGAGCTTTGCTACATATAGTACATAAATCTCCGGACAATATTTTCTGCAGAGCTTTGCTACAGAGACCCAAAATATGAGACTAATAAGTGGGACAAGTGAGGTGTTCCTCTCCTATTGGATAATGAGTTGGTCATCATTAATGATGGCCAACTCATTATCCAATAGGAATGGTGTCCTCACTTGTCCCTCCTATTGGTCCTATATTTTGGGTCCTTGAGGAATTTTTCTTCTATATATTGTTATACTAATTTAATAAGATTGGTAACAAGCATGTGCTCTTACCTCTTTATAAATTCCTATAATAAACCTCTTACTATTTTTTTTCCCAAAAACATAGTCCAGTTACAATGTTCAATTAAAAAAACAAGTAAATTGGAGAAAGCAAAAAGGATAAGAATGAGGGAACAAAGGACTCACACAATCTGGTACATGTTCCAGAGAACTGAGTAGGAATGGTAGGCCTTGGTTGGATCAAACCAGAGATATATTCTCTGCTCTCTATTCCCCTTCCCCCCAGTGAACACATTGGTCTGAAGTATGTATGGCTGTCCTGTCCTGTTGCCCAAAAACTCAAAATCTATCTCATCATGCTCTGAGTTTTGTGAAGACAGCTGCAAAAGATGAAAACCACACAAAATGTAATGGCGTAAAAATTGAAGCGGAGGAAAACCTGAAATGATGGGTGCTAATATTCCCCACACTTCGGAAGCAAATCTAGAAGAACAAGCATTACCCCTGTGAGTCCACATTAGCAAGAACAATGATGTTCGAATCTTATTAGGCACACATTTTAAGTTGTGTTCCAGTCTTTACACACTTTTGATTAATGGGTACTTCTACGTTATTGCTTAAAAGTGTTGTTAACCTGACATACATCTGGATCGTCAGTTCTGATCTGGATACACTCATGAGTGTTGAAAAAATAACGTTAAAAAAGGAAGATAAATAATTAAAGCTAGTAAGGCACGATGATTAATTAAAAGTGAGGCTAAAACGAGACTCAAGAGAGAATATAGAGTTTGATCTCAATCCTTAACCGTTCTGAATGTGTATCACGTCAACAACACATCAACAAATTTGTTTCCTTGTAAAATAGTTTACATTTTAACATATGAAAACTATTCAACCTCGAAAGACAAATTAAAGTGTAAAACATGCGATTAACTTCATCATCACTTTGGGTTTTCGATATGCAGAGCAAGATTGTTTGATCCAATACTTACATAGAAAGCGGTCACGGTTCCTGCAGAGTCCCCAGGAACCATCTTTATTTGCATACTGAAATGCCCAAACAAGTAAGAACCTTTTGATTGAAACCCAGTTCCTGACCAAAGCACAACAAATCAAAACAAAATGAGCAAAAACACAATGTGGTAACATTCCTACACAAAACAAGCTACAAAATTTTATATCGGCATACCTGTGTACTTATCCAAAGAGAGAGTGATCTCATTACCACCATTGATGTACTTGATGTGATCATTAGCCCAAGTGGGCACATAGTTCCTTTGAAAGGGAACATCAATGGGCTTTCTTGGGCTAGCAGCCATGGCCACTGAGCTCAGCCCAAGTACACAAATGCACACCAAAAGTGAAGAGGCCATGAGAAAAGGGGAGTGGGGTTTAAGTGGGTGAGGAGAAGAGAGAACTACAAGGGTTTATATAGGGGAAACTTATAATAGAGGAGTCAAAAGGCTTGATTTGAAGGCAAGAAGGACATTAAAAAAATATTATGGGACAGCTATTAAAAAGATTGATAGATTACAGCTATGCATCAATTATTTCTCTCTCTGCACTCTTGTTTGGGTCAGTTTGGAACTTTACTGAAAAGAGAGAGAGAGAGAGAGAGAGAGAGAGAGAGAGAGAGGCATTGTGCTAAAAGTTGAGATACAATCAATCAAATAAATTTCATTTGATTCTTTATTTACTATTTAAACTAAACTCAAGTTGAATTCAACGGGGGAAGAAAAGTTTATCCAGGCTTATAGGATATGATTAATTACAATCCAGCTACCTGAGATGTAATATAATTACATGGATAATCATAGAATTTCCCTATCTACATGGTTAGCCATAAAGTAACTGATTATAGTTACACTAATAATCCTGAAAGTTGCTTATCATCTGGGCTACAGGAGCACCTTGTAATTTTAATTTGTGATCAGAATTACCGGTGCAGATATGCAAACTTCAGAATCACCAATGTAATTATATCATACCTCATAGTATCAGATTGTAATTAATCCTATAGAAAATCTCACAAGCAATGACAATAGGTATCTTAGTTAAAATAAATCTGAAGGCTATATTTGTTCCAATAAAAACGTCAAGTTTGATGGTTAATTAACCATCAACTTTAACCTACATGCTGCAAAAATGCTTCACATTCTCTTTTCTCTCCCTATGATTTCTTATAGAGGAAGTTTATAGGGTTCTTTTTTCGATAATTCAATCCAAACAAGAAGAATGTAAATGATTGCCGTCAATCATTAATTCATCAAATGGTTGTATATTTATGAATGAACTTGGAACATCCTTAATAAAACAGTACAATATAACCTCGGTAAGCCGCTAGATTACTCTTAATCATTTCTAACAAATTGGTTAAGATAGCATTATCCCTGATCTTTGGTTTCTTGTAACTCACTTTAGCAGGAAAAATGATCATCCCAGTTCATCAACACAAGAGGCATATAAACTCAATAATAGTGTTTTTTATTAGAACATTACTACTATTGTTAGAACATGCAATTAATGCAACTACTAAGGGTGCCATTTCTTTTTGTAATTTAATTCTGTGATTTTCCACCACAAAATTTCTCTCTCTATAGAATTAGAGTTATATTTTGTACCTTCTATCTTCTAGTTTCAAATCATACGACTGCCAACCTTTGAAAGTTCATCTTATTATTGTCAATACCACTCAAGAGTCATTACTGAATAATTTAAGTGTCCAAGCCTATCTTTCTCCAATTAGCACTAAAAACTAATTAATGCAACTAATTAGAGGGGGAACAACCTCAAATAGCCAAAAACTTAGAAGTCTAAACAAACGCAACATGATGTCAACTTCTAGTTTAATAAAATTGTCAGATGCATCCTCTTAAAAAAAATAAATAAATAAAAAGCTTGTAGGTGCCGTTCATGCAATCATATTAAGATATTAAAAAAAATTGAAAGACTCCAACTGTAAAGGATTATTCCCTTCAAAATTAATGTAATCTGCACATATGCTATTGCGAACGTTACCTGCAAAACTTGCAGTTTAATTAAATCCTGTCAAATCTCAACTAATATTGCATCCAAAGTCCCATGTGCACCCTGTTTTCCTTCATTAAGCAAATCCCACAGCTTAGCAACAATAATGATGCCACATGTGCACATAGTCTACAATAACACATCTCATTTATATTTTGATTAAAACGAATACCAAAATACTGATGGGGCCACTGCCACCTGTTTGCATATCTTATGCTCAAATCAGAAAGATTTAATTTTCTAATGTCGGTATTCCAAATTACGTGGAAATTGAAATAGATCCTCCAAATTTCATTAATTACTTCAAATAGGTCTCCGCTACTAATACATGCCACATCCAAATTCAGTGTAATGTAATCAAGTTAACAATCCAATTAAATTGATCCTATTCTAGTTAAAGGGTGCAGAATGATGTTTGAGGTGGAGAATAAACCTGTTGGAGGTCAGAGTAAGGAAACATATATGCATGAAGTAAACATGAAATTATAGCTACCGCAAGCTTCATTTGCCATTAAACTAATAGATTTTATTTATAATTATCTATTTCAATCAAGACACAAAGCTGTATGTACAGAATTTACAGCACTTTAGGAGTCAAAATCTATACACTCTGAATGAACAATTTCAGAAAAGCCCTAAATACAGAGCATGTAGGCTTTGCACTGTCACCATCAAAGTCTCATGCACACGTCTCAGAGCCTAACTCTCAAAACCTATCCACATGCAAGTAGTCCTTACTTGTTAAAATCAAGTATCTCCATTAATACTCCATAAAAGTGCCCACTCCACAATGAATCATTCAACAAATAACAACCAATTTGAATGTCTTATTACATGTGGGGTGTTGATTATCAGTAAGATCTACCGGCAAAACCTAACCTATGAATATCAACAATTAAGATTACTTGTTATGCAACTTGATTACCGCCTAAACTGTAGGATTGGTAGGATTGGCAGAATATCTCAGAAACAGGTTAACAGTTTGGCAGTCGACCAGGGCGGTCGACCGCGTTCGTGCACAGAGCTTACTATGCGTCTGGATCAGCGGCGGTCGACCGCAGGAGTTTCTGTTTCCGCGACGGTCCGCGGAAGTTTCTGGATATTAAGACTGAGTCTGGGATTAAGGCGGTCGACCGCCACGGTCGATCGCCGAAGCGGGTTGGGCTGAATTCTGAGTTCCAGACCCGTTTCGTTTGAGAGTTGTATAAATACCCTTAACTCGTTTTTAGAGTTAAAAGGGAGAAGATTTTGAGCAGCTGTAAGAGGAGATTTAGGGCTTCTATTGTTGAAGCCATTTAGAGATATTAAGAGGGCTTGTTTGTGGGTTTTGGTAAGATTTGTAACCCGCTTGATTTCCATTAGTAAAACTCCCCCCTCCTTATCCCGTGGACGTAGGCACATTACCGAACCACATAAATCTTGTGTTCTTGTTGTGATTGGATTGCTTGTGTTCTATTGTGATCTATTTTTGGTTCTTGTGTGTGCTATTGACTTGTCGAATCGGCTTCCGCGGCGCACAACAACTGGTATCTGAGCTCCGGGTTGGATTTGGGAGTTTTGTTCGAATGATTCACTGTTGGATTCTTGTTTGGGGAGTAGATCTACAATATGGGTGATACAAGCAGGGCTAGTTCAAGTGCTACTAGTACATCGGGGTCGGCTTTGACAAAGGCGATCTAAAATTTGAGCATCAATAATACTAAAATTGATGTTCCAAAGTTCGACGGTAAGATCAACTTCGGTTTGTGGAGGTGTAAAGTTATGGACGCCTTAGATGCACAGAATTTGAAGGAGACTCTTGAGCTACAAGAGAAACCCGACGATATGGATGACACGGTTTGGAAGAAAATACACAGTAGGGCTTATGGGGTTATGCGGTCATGCTTGACGCCGGATCTCATTTATGATGTGATGAACGAGACGTCGGCGAAGAGATTGTGGGAAACACTCGATAAAAAAATATTTGACGAGGAGCATTGAGAATCGGCTTCACTTGAAGAAGAGGTTCTACCAATTCAATTGAAGAGGGGAGTTTCCATTCGGAAGTATGTTAACAACTTCACAAAGCTAATTTCGGATATGACCAATGTAGATATCATGGTGGAGGATGGAGACAATGCGATGTTACTATTGTGTTCGTTACCGGATGATACGTTTAGTACGTTTGTTCTCACTATGATAAATTGGCGAACTACAGTTAGCTACAAGGAGGTTACCTCGACGTTGGTAAATTATGAGCTGAGGAAGAATGATGGTGAGCCCTCCGAGAAAGCATCGGGTGATGCATTAGCAGTTCGTGACCGTAGTCCAAACCGTCAAAGGTTCAATCGCTCAAAATCAAAGAATAGGGGTGGGCATAAGAGTATTGGTAGAAATCAATGTGTCTTTTGCAAAAAAGAGGAACATTAGAAAAATGAATGCCCAAAGTTGAAGGATAGAGCCGGGAAGCAAATGGGGAAAGTTGTACAAGCTTCAGAGGTGAATGTTGCTAAAATTATTGGCTACATTTCAGATTCGAATTCTTCCGGTTATTCTTGTCCAGCACTGCCGTCTGTTTGTTATACCGACTCTACGGAGTGGATGCTTGATTCGAGAGCTACATTTCACATTTACTCTAAGAGGGATTGGTTTACCAACTTTGAGGAGTTGAAGAGAGGAGACGTGATGCTCATGGGAAACGATCACGTTTGTCCTATTAGTGGGATTGGCTCAGTCCGGATCAGAATGCATGACGGGGTGACTAGGGAGTTGAAAGAAGTGAGGTTCGTGCCGCAGTTGACGAAGAACATCATTTCTTTTGGGACTTTGGAGGCAGCTGGTTACAGAGTGATCTTAGAGGATGCTACTTTGAAGGTCATGAAGGGATCTATGGTGATGATGCGAGGTGTCAGGGAAAACAACCTATACTACTTGAAGGGCAAGACAGTTACAGGGGGTCTGGCTGTTTCTATTACCACAAAGGAGGATACTACCACACTATGGCACATGAGACTTGGACACACAGATGATAAGTCCCTACAGTCATTGACAAAACAGGGGCTATTGAAAGGTGTAAAGTCCTACAAGATGGAACTGTGTGAGCATTGCATACTTGGGAAAAAGACTAAAGTAAAATTTGGCATCGTAATTCACAACACCCAAGGTATATTGGATTACATTCACACAGATGTTTGGGGCCCTTCCAAGCACACATCGCTTGGTGGGTAAATTATTTTGTCACTTTCATTGATGATTATTCCAGGAGGAATTGGGTATATACCATGAAGCATAAACATGAGGTCATGGATATATTTGTAGAGTGGAAGAAGAAAGTGGAGCTGCAGACAGGTAGAAAGGTGAAGACTCTTCGTTCAGACAATGGTGGAGAGTATAAGAGTGATCCATTTCTGCAGTTTTGTCGGGATCACAGCATTAGAAG